ATGTTTATACAAACTCAAAGACTCATCTCCTGAGCCACTGCACAAAGGAACAAAATGTAACCAACAGAATAAATCAGTGCAAATAGTTTTAATAAAGCTCAAATAGTCTTCAGTTTACACATCTATTAGGCTACATTTACACTAGTGCGTGCTCGTTTTAAAATGCATAGCTCAGACAGAATAATCATTTCTATTCATTTTCCACTGATTTACTGATGAGCATTAGCAGCTTCCAGCGCTGTCTGCCTGTGCACTCTCTTCCACGATCGCTGCTCTGACTCCGAGATAATAACATTTAATTTCAGCAACAATACATGGCCAAAACACACATTAGACGGCAATCGGAAGTTATTACAAACACTCGATGGTGCAAATTCTTTCATTTGATCTTTAAATTCAGTTATAATAATGTGTTTATCTATACGTTATCAAATTAAATCATTTACACTGAAAAATACAACTGCATTAAATAATATTATGAGATTCTTTTAAATATTTTTGAATATACAAACAAGAAATGATGGTGGAAATGATACTTTTCAACGAAATTAAAACGCCAGTAAAGGTTCAGTTGTGAGCGTTTAATTAGAGTGTGTCATTGAGTCATTCATTCAAATGATTTGTTCAAACAGCAGATTCATCAGATGGTTATGCATGGGCTAATGAAACTTTTGGTGCCAGTTGTGAGCGTTTAATGAGTGAGTCATTGAGTCGTTCATTCAAATGATTCGTTCAAACGGCAGATTCATCAGATGTTTATACATAGGGCCTCAGCAGCGCAACCTTATACTGTCAATAGATGCATTATATACATTAGATATCCACTTTTCGCCACTTACTCTAAATGTAATAAAATCAGAATATAACTTGCGTTTTGGTGTTTACATAGTTATATTTGGTTACTGATGTTTTAATCATGTTACTTGTCTGGCGTTAATGAAGCGTTAATGTCAAGCCCTGGAGTCAATGTGCCGGGGCTCAGCCCCAGACGGCCCGGCCCAATTTAAACCCTGGTCTTATGTAGCATGATGCTACAGTGTGCATGAATGGTCAAATAACACGCGCTTTCGGTCTTGTAGTATGAACGGACATCTGCATATGATTGGAACTCTACGCAGCTTCCGCGCTACTCTCCATTGGAAATGAATGACTTTCAGTCTGCCATTTGTTGGAGATAGTGGAAAGCTGCAGGCTTATTGGCTCACTGACGTTGATGAGATTAACCCCTTAGGCATCAAAATTTGGTACCGAACGACGAGATGTTTTTCGATACTCGATGGTATCGAGGCAATTCGGTCGGTGCCTACAAAGTATCGAAGTCGATACCCAGCCCTAGCGCTACGCTTCTCATCTGGTGTGAGACCGGATTAAGGCTGGATTAGCCTCTTGTTTCAAAAGTGGAACTGTCAAAGATGACTTTTAAAAGAAGACATCGTAAGCTAGGCTGGTGCTTTGTTAGGCTGGTAACGACGAGGGTAGGGGGAGAGGGCCTAGGTTCAAGAGTCATGGTTCGCTACTGACTCACATGATATAAACAGCCCCCTGTCGTAGTGCAGTGGTCTATCGTGTACAGAAGACAAAATTCCCGCAACACGACAAGCAGCCCTCTGTCTCTAAGCAGCAGTCTGCTGTGTTCAGACTCAGGGCATGGGTGAAGTACTCATTGTGTGAAGTACTTTTCAACGGCTTTGCTTACAGCCATTCTGGACCTTCTCTATCAACACGGTGGGATTTTATGAGATCCCCAAAGCGACATCTTTGATGACGCAATGTCGAGAGACTGACTTGACAGGGAACGTCTCCGGTTACCTAACGTAACCTCGGTTCCCTGAGAGGAGGGAACGAGACACTGCGTACGCTGCCGTGTTACATAGCTCAGATTCTTTGTCAGCTGCACTCTGCTTCAGTCCAAAGATTCTGAGGCAATGGCGTTCAGCGCCACCTTATTGTGCAGGGAAGCCCATCACTGAGGGCTTGAACCTGAGGGTTCTATGTGCTTGAATGCCATTGGTGGGCGAATTCTCTCCCGCAAGATTTCATAAGGCTTCAGTAGATTCGAGGAAGGGGGGATAACCCCAAAGCGACATCTTCAGTGACACACTGAGTACTTGGACAAAATTAATCCTATATTAACACGATTAAGACAATACTCTGATTAAGAATCTACAATGTAAACAGAGATTTTTGATTACCTTAATCCGGCTAAAGTCATAATCGAAGTAAACAGAAATCGAATTAAGACATGTGGAGTATTCCTATTTTAGTTGCATTATTGAAGTGCAGTATAGACATGTACACACCTTAATCACACTATTACCGTCATGTAGGACTTTTTGCCGCATTTTGCAACAGGATACTTGAATGTATATAATATAATGAAACACCCAAAACTGTATAGTACCGAAGACAAACTGTATGTTTATACGTGAAATTCTGGAGGGAATGTCAGATGGCGTCATGTGGGAATGTAATGACGTGCCATTAATCGATTTTTGTACTAAACATGTCAAATGGGAACATGAAAGGAATATTCTAAAAGCAACTCATGTAAACACCTTAATCATAATATTGCCTTATTCAGCATAAGGTAAATAATTAGATTACTGATGTCCATGTAAACGTACTGAGTGTCTTGTTCCCTCCTCTCAGGGAACCGAGGTTACATTAGGTAACTGGAGACATTTTCTGTTTCTGTTGTTTAGAATAAATATCTGCTATTTTGATTGTTGATTGTTACAGAAATATACCCAGAACACAGAGATGACGGCAACAGGATGTTTATTGACAACAACGTAGGCACAGTAAGCAATGAGGTGAGTGAACGGAGCAATGATACTAATGCGGAGTGGATGAGGATACTAATGGCAATCTTGTCTTACAGGACCAGGAGATCGTGGCAAGGCAGAGAGAGGAATGAGGTTCACACACACGTCAATACTTGCTGGTAGGTGATAGAGGCACAGGGACGATGGAGGACAAGGACAAGGAGAACACGCTGGAGAATCACAGGAGGTAAGAATAGGAATGACACAGGAGAACTAGCCTGGAGTATCCGTAGGAGAAGTAGGAAAGTAAGTAGAGTCCTTAACGTGTAAACGAGACCGGACACTGGAGTGAGGTGATGTGTGTGCTTTAGAAGGCAGCGTCATGAGCGTGCAGATGAGTGGCAGGTGTGTGTGATTAGAATTCAAGTGAGGGGGAGCGCTGGGATTGGCTGGTGTGGAGACCTGGCTGTTCTGTGACAAGGATTAATTCATTTACTGCTTATTTCATTTAAAAACTTTATGCTGATTGTGCATGTTGTTTGCCGTTAGCTGTAATTCGAATCTACAAAAATACTTTTTTGCTACCTGTTAATTTGCACTTAAAAGATTAGTTCACTTCCAGAATAAAAATTTCCTGATAATTTACTCACCCCCATGTCATCCAAGATGTTCATGTCTTTCTTTCTTCAGTCGAAAATAAATTAAGATTTTGAGGAAAACATTTCAGGATTTTTCTCCATATAGTGGGTTTCAATGGGAGCCAACGAGTTGAATGTCAGTTTCAGTGCAGCTTCAAAGGACTCAACACAATCCCAGCTGAGGAATAATGGTCTTATCTAGCGAAACAATTGGCCATTTTCTAAAAAAAAAATAAAAAATAATTTATATACTTTTTAACCACAAATGTTCGTCTTGCACTAGCTCGACTTCACATATTACATAGTCACGTTGGAAAGGTCACGTGTGATGTAGGCGGAAGTACGGACTCAGTGTTTACAAAGCAAATGTGCAAAGTAAGTCAAATGCCCTCTACAAAAAAAAGAAAAAAGAATGATGTAGGATGATTTCTAAGTTGGAGGAGAAAATGAGATGAGAGTTTTTCGCCCTACCCTACTTTTTTGAACCGGAGTACACAGACGAACTAACCGCGCATGACCTTTCCAACGTGATTACGTAATGCGTGAAGTCGCGGATGTGCATTGCGGCGCTATTGCAAGCATTTGTGATTAAAAAGTATGTAATTTTTTTTTTTTTTAGAAAATGGCCGACGTTTCACTAAATAAGACCATTATTCCTCAGCTGGGATCATGTAGAGCTCTTTGAAGTTGAATTGAAACTGCAATTTGGACCTTCAACATGTTAGCTCCCATTGAAGTCCGCTATTTAGAGAAAAATCCTGGAATTTTTTGCTCAAAAACCTTAATTTCTTTTTGACTGAAGAAAGAAAGACATCAACATCTTGGATGACATGGGGGTGAGTAAATTATCAGGAAATTTTTATTCTGGAAGTGAACTAATCCTTTAAGTGGTAAACTGTACCGCAGTAGTTTCGATTTCAAGCCATTTGCGTGCAAGGCTTTGCTGTGCTAATTAGAAAGGCGGCGACATCTGTATTCACTCAAGAGGGTTAAGATGTATATTTAAGTGGAGGCGGTTCGCTGACACGGAAGCGTCAGCCCTCGTGTGAAGACTGACAAGGTAAAGACCTGCGACTCTACCTGTGCGACTCAACCGAGCAACAACACAGACAAGGCACAGTAGTATCTTTCCCTTATTCTACTTCCCTTCCTTTCCTCTCTCCACCACTTTCAACATGTGCTTCCATTATATTCCTATTGTCTCTCAATGGAAACACATTTACACAACATGCAGGAGATGGCACAATCATGCTAACCTGCATCCTATCCACACTTCTTCTATTGAACCCTTTTCTTTTTCTATGGGCCTCTGAAATTGTCAGTCAGCTGTCAACAAAGCTGACTTTATTCCAGCCTTTGCTACATAGTCAGCTTTCAGTCTCTTGGGCTTGACTGAGACCTGGATTAAACCTGAAGACACAGCTACCCCTGCTGCTCTTTCCAACAACTTCTCTTTCACCCACACCCCCCGTCAGGTTGGGAAAGGTGGGGGTACTAGTCTCCTCATTTCCAAAAGCTGGAAATACCTCACATGCTCTTATAACTTTAACAATACTTCCTTTGAATTTCATGCCGTTACAGTCACACTCCCTGTAAAAATCAACATTGTAGTTATTTATCGCTCTCCAGGTCAGCTGGGCAACTTTCTAGATGAACTAGATATGTTACTGTCCTCATTCCCTGAAGATGGCAGCCCTCTAGTACTTTTTGGTGACTTCAACATCCATCTTGAGAAGCCACATGCTTCCACTCACTCCTATCCTCTTTCGACCTTTGGAAGCTCAACACCACAGGTACCCATAAATCAGACAACCAGCTCGACCTCATCTTTACATGCAATTGTATCACAGATAACATCTTGGTCAAACTCTTGCATGTCTCAGATCATTTCATTATTACTTTTAATCTACATTTACCTTTTTACGCACCACCAACCCCTCTGCCAGTTTCGTTTAGATGAAATCTAAGGTCTCTTTCTCCTTCTCGACTTTCCTCTGTGGTATCCTCTCTTCCCACCCTCACACATTTCTCATCATTAGATGTGAATTGTGCCACAGATACGTTATTTTCTACCCTAACTAGCTGCCTAGACAATATCTGTCCTATTTCCTCCAGACCAGCACGTGCTATTCACTCAAACCCCTGGTTAACTAATGTCCTCTACGAGCATTGGACTAAACTCAGGGCAGTGAAGAGAAAATGGCACGCAAGTTCACACTGCCAAAACTACCTTCTTCCATAACAAGATCAACAGTGCATCAGACACTCACAAACTCTTCAAAACATTCAATGCTCTTCTTTGTCCCTTTGCACCACCTCACACCACCCCTTTAACTGCTGAAGATTTTGCTAATTACTTCACAAACAAAACCACACCCTTACGAAACAAAACTATATGGTAATATACTGCAAAATATAATGCGATATATTACATAATACATTTCCATATATTGGAAACTAGTACTCATATTTTTCAATATACAGCAATATATGCATTGACAATATACAGCTACATCTCAAAATATTAGAATATCATGAAAAAGGTCAATATTTTTTGTCACTCATTTCAGAAAGTGAAACCCATATATTATATAGATTCATTACACATAGAGTGAAATATTTCAAGCCTTTATTTCTTGAAATTTTGATGATTATGGCTTACAGATAATGAAAACCCAAAATTCAGTGTCTCAGAAAATTAGAATATTACATAAGATCAATAAAAAATTGATATTTTAAACAGAAATGTCAGGCTTCTGAAAAGTATGTTCATTTCTATGCACTCAATACTTGGTTGGGCCTCCTTTTGCATGAATTACTGCATCAATGAGGCGTGGCATGGAGGCAATCAGCCTGTGGCACTGCTCAGGTGTAATGGAAGCCCAGGTTGCTTTGATAGCGGCCTTCAGGTCATCTGCATTGTTGGGTCTGGTGTCTCTCATCTTCCTCTTGACAATACCCCATAGATTCTCTATGGGGTTCAGGTCAGGCGAGTTTGCTGGCCAATCAAGCACAGTAACACCATGGTCATTGAACCAGCTTTTGGTACCTCTGGCAGTGAGGGCAGGTGCCAAGTCTTGCCGGAAAATGAAATCAGCATCTCCATAAAGCTTGTCAGCAGAAGGAAGCATGAAGTGCTCTAAAATGTCCTGGTAGATGGCTGCGTTGACTGTGGACTTCAGAAAACACAGTGGACCAACACCAACAGATGACATGGCAGCCCAAATCATCACTGACTGTGGAAACTTCACACTGGACTTCAAGCAACATGGTTTCTGTGCCTCTCCACTCTTCCTCCAGACTCTGGGACCTTGATTGAATTTACTTTCATCTGAAAAGAGGACTTTGGACCACTGAGCAACAGTCCAGTTCTTTTTCTCCACAGCCCAGGTAAGACGCTCCTGACGTTGTCT